TTCACCACACCAGAAGGCAATGGTCCTAGTTAGGGAAATAATAAGAAAGGCCATGTGGTGCACATAGCTCTCTCCCTCCAACAGAAAGAAAGTGACCAAGGGGCTCCAAAGACACAGCCAAGAGACTGCCGAGGCTACTTTACCCAGTCTCTGACATCTGATATGACGGTTTCACTATGCCTAGGGGCCAGCCCTGTTTATTTGTCATGAACACCTAGAACTGTGGGAAGACAGAACTTGTTAGCTACCTAACAGCCTATATGACCACCAGTGGGCTGCATATATCTTGGTAGATTACAGCTTTGATAGGCCTTGGTAGATTGCAAATTCAATAGAAAAACAAATATTTCATGTGACTAGGTTGGGGGGAATCAGACCTATATTCCAACATTCTACAGATGAAAACTGGGACATGTGTGTCCAAACAACATCAGATTGTGGTCAAGATGGCAAAAAGTATTAATGAGAGAGGAAACATATCCTGGGGCAAGCTGCTTGAGCCCACTAAGGACTTTATCACGTAGGAGAAATCCTGTGCAGAAACGGGGTTTTCAATACTAATCACCACCACCCCGCAAAAGCGGGTAGATTTTCAGATGACGTCGTTTTTAAAGTGTGCTTAACCCGAACAGAAAGTAGTCGAAAGCCACTTCTTTTTACTTTTGGAAAATCCCGAAAGTAAAAAGAAGTGGCTTTTGACTACTTTCTGTTCAGGTTAAGCACACTTTAAAAGTGATGTGTGTGAAAATCTACCTGCTTTTGTAGGTTTTCCCCACCTTTTAAATCCTATTTCTGCATGGGATTTCCCCCATGTGATAAGGTCCTAGGAAGAGGATTATTCAGGACTGTCTTTTCCAAATCAGCACAGTTGGAGGGTATGCATTAGAATGGATCCAGAAAGATTCAGTCTCTCCATGTCAATTTGGAAAATATCTCTATATAAAAATTAAGAATTGCCAATAATGAAAATACTGACACACCCCTTTGGTGCAACAGCCTGCCAACACCCTTTTGGTGTAATCTCTGTTTATCTCCTGTTAATTGCCATACAAGCAGGATATACAACTTGTAAGCTTTGGTTCCCATTTGACAAAAATAGCTCAAGGCTACAGTGAATTCTGTAAGAAGTTATGAAATGCCTACTGGGCAGTCTGCTAACATGGTGTATTTCTTAGGAACCCCTCATAAAAGCTTTTGAAAACTAGCACATAAGCACTTTGGCTACTGATTTATGTTGTCTCAGTAACTATCGTCATTTAAAAAATGAGGCAACAGAAAAATATGCTTGATTGGTTTAAAAACAAGAAGGGCACTGCAGGACCATCCCTAATGTTTCCTGCTTTTGAATTAGAGGCAAAAAGGTTTTTTTTAAGGTTGATAAGCATCCAGTCTTAATAATGCTTTGTTTATGAAATGCTACTACAGGTGTGATTGGTCTGCCAACATTCTTTACAATGGGCCTTTGCAGACTGCCAGAAATAGTGCACATTAAATTGAGGCACTTCCCTGACTCAGTGCTAGGGAATCATGGGAACTGTAATTTATTGTGGCACCAGAGCTCTCTGACAGAGAAGGCTCAATGTCTCAGAAAAAAATGCAGTTCCCATGATTCCCTAGCACTGAGCCAGGGCAGTTCCTCAATTTAAAGCACACTATTTCTGGCAGTCTGCAAAATGTCTGTTAAAGATTCCATGTTTGGAATATACTGGGATCCTTACTATTGTTGTTGTGTTGTTATTGTTGTGTGCCTTCAAGTCATGTCTGACTCATGGAAGCCTAAAAGAAAACCTATCATGTAGTTTTCTTTGCAAGCTTTGTTCAGAAGGGGTTTTGCCTTTGTCTTCCTCTGAAGCTGAGAGAGTGTCAATGTCCAAGGTAAACCAGTGGGCTTCCATAGCCAAGTAGGGATCTGAACCCTGGTCTGCCAGAATCTTAGTGAAACACAAATCACTACACCACACTGGCTCTCACATCTTTATTATACACCAGTTAATTCACCTTTCACTCTCTAAGCATTAAGGTACATTACTGAAAGCTTTTGAAAATCCTCCCAAAGCTACCTAAAATATGTGAAGAGGCAACAGCAATACTCCTAAGCCACAGTTTCCCCAAAGGCATGACCTGCTCTGTGAAAGCCACTCTTAAGGAGCCCTGTTAGTGCAGTGGTTAAATGCCTGTACTGCAGTCATTCATTCACAAACCACAAGGTTGTGAGTTCAATACCAACCAGGGCTCAGGCTTGGCTCAGGCTTGTATCCTTCCGAGGTTGCTAAAATAAGTATCCAGCTTCTTGGGGCAATTAAATTAAAGTTGTAAACCACTTAGAGACTGCATAGTGTGGTATGAAGTGGTATATAAATGAAGCTGCTTTTGCTATTGCTTTGCAACAACTTAAACATTTTGCTCTTAGTTTTGTCTATGTTCCAAACCTTTATAGTATTTGAGACAACTGGGATAGGTTTTTTTGGACATTCTGTAAACTAGACTTCAGTTTTCCAGCTAGTATGCCATTTGGTATATACTCCCTTGCCAAGATCCTATTTGGTTCTGGCAGAGGAAAAAAAACTTCACTGGTGGTATTAAACAAGATCAACTGAGAGCCACCTACTTCTAAAATAATCAGCACTCTTCAGTTCCCAATGCCAAGGCACTATCATGAAGGGGGAGGATGGGAAGGGGGATCATATTGGCTTTGTTGACAGGCTGTTTCCCAAGCCACTTCCTCCCACAGCACTTTGGCCAGACAGTAAATAACAAGTCTTCAAGAGTAGTCTTCAAGAGGGCTAGCTTCTGCTGGGGGTCATGTGCCAAGTGGCACCCTCTTTCTCTGGTGGTAGTATGCAAGTGCAACAGGTAGCTGTGGCTGCCTGCTTGTCTGCTCCTGGCACTACCAACACTATTGCCACTGCCATTTCTACAGGAAAGTCTTGGATTGCTCCCAATGTAAGTGATGAGAAAACAAAAGCACTCAGAGAACAGTCTCAGAAAAATTTGACTCTACATCAGGGGAATCATTCAGCCTTCACGATGCTGTTGGATTGCAAATCCACAGGACACAGAGGAATGGATTCAAACTACATGAAAAGAGATTCCATCTGAACATTAGGAAGAACTTCCTGATGTAAGAGCTGTTTGACAATGGAGTATGCTGCTTCAGAGTGTAGTGGTCTCCTTCTTTGGAGGTTTTTAAACAGATGTCAGATGGCCATCTGTCAGAGTGCTTTGATTGTGTATTCCTGCACATGGCAGGAGGTTGGACTAGATGGCCTTTGATGGTCTCTTCCAAGTCCTATGATTCTATGATATCCAGTATTCCTTGTCATTGGCCATGTTGGCTAGGACTGCTGGCACTTGTGGTTCAACAACATCTGAAAGGTTGAATTATTCCCACTCTTGCCATTTGGGATACTAGTCCATGTTTCCTTCTGAAATGGAATCAAATATATACATTTCCAACTTCACACCACTCTTGGAATCAGAGTGGCTTATACTGCAAGCATAAACTGCAGACTTTTTGGATAGTGTATTAATACCTCAAACATTGAAGTTCATTTGGACTCTCATGATTTCAGGAAAAGATACATAAGCTAGCATGCACATTAGATTTTTTAAAAATGAGGGGGAAATGACACCCACCCACCCCCTTTGTTTGCATTCAGTTAAATGAGAATTTAATATTTTAAATGAGATTTTTGTAATGAGAAGTAAAACAAATGAGTTCAAAATGAAGCCCATTGATTATGATTATTATATACATAACCCAGTCTTGTCTGTGAATAGAAAGTTCTGTGTTTGTAGCCCCGAGGCCTATGTATATCCCACTAACTTAGAAACCTGTTCAGGCATTACCCTGTTTTGACACACAAAGAAGAGAATGACTAGCTCCACCTTTTCCATCATCACTTTTTTCATGCACAAAGTGACACGTCTGTAGAGAAGAAGTTCACATGGAGAGTCTCCATGCAAACCAGAATCCTGATTTTTCTAGCATCTTTGCTTACATGGAGAGTCACTACATGAATAAGAACATCTCCTCTTCAGCTTTGTGGCTTTCTGTTTGCATAAAGTACCATGTGTGAGTACAGCATGAAAGTAAAGCAATGAGGTGGCAGGACTAGAATCACCTCTTCAAATCTGGCCAGTTACAGCTGAATATGGCTAACAACTCATTGTGACAGAATTTAAGACCAAAAGATACTTCCAGTTGTCTCAGTCTTCCATTTGTATTGCAGTATGAATAACATGCCAATGTTTTCTGTGGAGTGCTGAGATTTTCCTCTCCAAACTGCATCTCAGCTGCTTTCCTGCCACCAGTTCCAGATGTCTTTCAGAAGTTAAACATGTGCCTAGAGGCTGATGCATAAATTGAAGAGTAAAAACGATAGGTGTGGAACAATTAAGCAAGTCTTCTTGCGTACTTTTCTCTTCTCAAAGTTGCTTTGGCCTTCAGGGCTTCTTTACACACATTTGCATGTAATTTTCCCTAGAGTAAAATGTATAAATCTCTGGAAGTGAGAAGCCCAAAAGGTAACTCTTTTGGGTGGATAAAGTACTGTATGGGCTCCCTAAGCTGGATAGAGATGATGAGAATTGTAGTCCTAAAGATGTCTTGATGGCCTCTGTATGGGGAAGGCTGTTCTATGCTATAATTTTTTACAGAGAGAAATGGATCTTTCTCTTAGGAGAGTACAAGTTGTCCAGATAGTTTAAAGCCCTCCACACGTGTAGGACTAAAGGTTTTCAGTCAATAATTTGAAATTGATTATTTTGTTCTTTTTTGTTTTATTCATTTAATATATTAATATATTAATTAATTAATACAAACTAATTATTATAAATATAATTGCTGTTGTTGTCGTTGTGTGCCTTCAAGTCATTTCTGACTTATTACAACTCCATCATGGCATTTTCTTGGCATGAATTGTTCAGAGAAGGTTTGCCATTGCCTTTCCTTGAGGTTGAGAGCATGTGACTTCCCCAAAGTCACTCAGTGAGTTTCATGACCAAGCTGGGAATTGAACCCTGTCTCCAGTGTTATAGTCCAATACTCAAACCACTATGCCACACTGGCTCATAAATATAATTAATATAAAGCTATTTTCCCAGCATGGTTTTATTGCTTCTCTTTGAAAAAAAATTAATAGCTTATCTGAGATTTTTAAAATTAGAAAATGACATTAAAATGTTCTTAACAAGGAGGGAAAGGACATGTGCACACAGAGAAGTCCTGTCGCCAACATGGCTGTTCACCTAAATAGGGTTCCGTAAGCACATTTGCTTACAGGTCTCCTGGGAGCAGAAACCATAGATTTCTGGGAGCATAAACAATTTAATACTCCTATACAACCTTCAGAGACTTTTATGCAAACTGTGTGAAAATCAAAATGGTCACCAGATGAACATGCAAATGCCTGTAGGTGGACTTTGATTTGGCCACAATATGAGTTAGACACGCATTTCTCTTATTAACTCATTTGAAATGGGGTGCTGCTGCGGCAGAGTACTATAGCCAACATAACAAATGGGTCCCAGAGCAAATCAAGCGTGAACTCTCCCTAAAAGCCAAAATGTCTAAATGAGGCTCATTAGAAAATATAATAATGCTTGGGAAAGGTGAAGGCAGTAGGAGAGAAAAAGGAGATCACACTACAGATGGATTGATTCAGTCAAGGAAACCATGAACTTGAGTTTACAAGACATACGCAGAACTGTTGAAGACCAAGGCTTATGGGGGGTTTTATTTCTAGGATTGCCATAAGTCAAGGCCAACTTGATGGCAAATAGCAACAAAGAAACAGATTCATTTTAGCAACACCACTTATTTATGAAACAAATGGCTCCACTTTCTCTTCCCTCTTAGCAGCATTAATTCTAATTCTCTAACTCATCATCATTATTTCTGAAACCAACACTGAAGTCCTCTGATTAATTTTATCATTTCCAAAATGAAAGCCCTCGGAACAGTATGTCAAAAAAAAAAAAACCCATTTACTGAACGCTTCTGACCTTAAATCAGGGGTAGGCAACCTAAGGCCCGGCGGCCGGATGCGGCCCCCAGAGGCCTTTGGACCGGCCCCAGGCCAGTCCTGCCGCCGTTGCCGCCGCCACCCCCCCGCCGCCTGCCGCCTGCCATGATGATATTGATTATTGTTGTTATTACTTGTTCTTGGGGTTTTCTTGCCAAAATCTCCACAAGGGTTTTGCCATGGCTTTTCTGGGGCTGAGAGAGTGTGCATGCATATTTTTTTTTAATTTTTAATTTTTTTAATTTTTAATTTTTATTTTTATTTATTTATTTATTTATTTATTTATTTATTTATTTATGGTGCTTCGGCCCCCCAATTGTCTGAGGGACAGCAAGCCGGCCCCAGGCTCAAAAAGGTTGCCTACCCCTGCCTTAAATGCACCACAGTGCATCTTTCTAGCTCTTGAGACATATATTTGCTGCTAGGTAGAGAGGGAAAGAACACTGACAAGTTTTCTTTATTTTGGAAGAAAAAGATTGTCTTGTCACACTGATAACATGCTGTTAAGGAAATGGTCAAACTGCCCTATGATTCTTCATGACTTCTTTTTACACTCCCCCCAAAAACCCAAAACTGTTCAAAAATCTTGTTTTGTGCAGAACGGTTTTTGCACAAAAAAAATAGCTTACAAAAGTCCATTGTACTTTGTGCAGAATGGTTTTTGCACAAAAAATAATGCAACAAAAAACCATTGTACTTTGCGAAAAATATATTTGTGCAAATAAACAAACAAAAACACCCCACAACCCAAGGATTCTAGCACTTTATTTATTTATTTATTTGTTTGTTTGCAAAAAGCTTCCTAAACATGAAAAATTCTTGGAAAAAATATACAACTCTTGTAATCTCCCATTCCCAGTGGGAAGAAAACTTTTGAAATTATTCGTTCTTTCATGTGAGAATGAAATAAGTGAATACTAAAGATCCTTACCGCTGAATCATAATTTCAGAACATACCAACATCAGCCAAGCATCTGAGCTGAATACAATACCATTCCAAATAGCTAGTGATTCAGCTGGCCTCATGCTTTAGTGTCATGATGCGGATAAGCCCTAAGAATCACGACGCCAAGCCTTAAAGAATGAGCACAGCAAACAAAAAAAGAGGAAGTGCAGACATACAGTGGGAGTTAACTTGATGTTCCAATCGTGTGTGTGTGTGTTTTTTTAAAAATCCAATATGCTTATTTTTAGGTTTATAATCCTGTACTTTTTGGGCAAGGTAGTTGTCCTAGGGCGTGGCAGTTAATAAACAACTGTAGGTTTGGGGAGGTGAAATGATTTGACATAAAAGAGGGACACAAATGTTCTTCCACATATGAGGACAGTGCCTCTGAATCTGAAATTATCATGTGGCAAATGATCAGGAGTGAAGGAAGAGCCATAGCACAGTAGTGTTTAGCGCCCCCAGACTGACCAATGTCTGTGCAGCAATGGGACTACATTTCCTGATGGTCTTACAGTACAGAGAGTAGTGTGTTTGTATGTGTGAAGAGATAGTGTGGTGTCAAGTCAGTCAGGACCCATGAAGAAGCAACAGTAAGGAATTTTGAGGTGGAATGGTGAGGTCCTTTCTAATACTTTGGCACAATGTTAACTGAGACTGTGAGAAAGCCCAGGAACAGCAAAGATGGATAACAAACTTGCCTTCCCTTTGCTTCAGAGGTGTTCTGGTGGTAGTCCCTCTCTTTAGATGGAGTGCCGAGCTTTTTCCGTAAGGAAGAAAACACAGAAAGACTGAGCCTAACATACTATTGGAGCCGTGCAAGCCTGCCTGCTGTTAAACTGACATGCCCAGAAGCCTAAATTATTGTGGTTTGAACTCAAATCTTTTGCACCACTTCTCTGTTTAAGTTGGGTGTTTTTTGTTAGCTAAGTAAAGTAAAGTTTGTAAAGTAAAGTAAAGTAAAGTTATTCCCCATTGACAAGTTGTCAAGTCATGTCCATCCATAGGGGGCAGTGCTCATCTCCATTCGAAGAGGCAGGGTTTGTCAGAGACTATTCTGTGATCATGGGGCCAGCATGATTGCACAGAATGCTGTTTACCTTCCCACCAAAGTGGTACCTATTTATCTACATGCATTTGCATACTTTTGAATTGCTAGGCTGGCAGAAGCTGGGACTAGTGATAGGAGCTCACCCCATCATGCAGCACCCAGGCCTCGAACTGCCAACCTGCCGATCTTGAAATCAACAAAGTCAGTGTCTTAACCACTTGAGCCATCGCATTGTTAGCTACATGCTGGAACCCACCAGTCAATAGTTAGTATAGACTACAGAGGGTACTAACATTGATGTGCTGTCAGTACAGTGCTTGCCTTCATTATATAGGCCTACTACTGATTTTTACAGCTGTCATGATTTATCCATATTACATTGTTTATTTTAAACAGTTGCTTGAAATACAAATGAGGATGAGAAATCAAGATGGTGTAGTTGCATTGGTTAAAAAAAAATCATAAGGAGAAATGATGCATCCCTTCCCAAGCACATCGGAGCTCTTACAATTGAACATGCAGTCCCTGAGCTTCCATTTTATTTTTACACATGGTCAGTAGATCAATAATGGATCTCCTGTCATCACATGCAGCCTGAACCCAAATAACAAGCTAGAAACAAGGTGGCAGGAACTCGCACATTTGTAATAGTAGAGTTTTATGGCAGAATGTGCTGACTCCACTGACCTAGACTTTCCTGCATTTTTGCAGCACCTGGATTCATTAAATAGACATGCTATTTTCAAGCAAAGGTCAACATCTCAAGGACACAAATGTGAGATAATCCAAAAGACATTTTTTTAGTTGATCTAATTGTACCAATATAAGTTTTTACCTTAAGATTTTCTGAAATTTGGAAGCTGACAGTTATTTCAAAATCCAGAAAATCTTAGATTCAGATAAATCAGAAAATGAGATTCAACCTGCAGATTAGCTAAGACACCTGATGGCATATGTCTTGCCATAGATTTACCATACTGCTTTAAGAAAGTGCAAATCAACATTGTGAAAACTGAATATAAAAATCTATACTAGGAAAATGAAAGAAAGAATGATTCCAATAACGGGAAAGACAAGCCTATTGTAAATTTTATGGAGCAACCACTAATGCTGAACTGAACACTCTTGTGCTCCCCATTTGTTCACTTTGGCCCATTTTACCATCTCTACCATGATTGTTCTGCTGCGAGTTCTCAAGACTCAATTTTTTTTACTGTATCCACAACTCCAACATCCATGCCTTGCTCCTTAGGACCAAGATCCACACAATTTTTGTACTAAATTATCTAGGAATAAAGTGTAATGGCAACAATGCAACAGGTTAAAAATATAAAACATGAATGACCTGTAGATTACACAGAGAGAGAGAGAGAGAGAGTAGGGTGTTAATCTTTGGACTGAGTTAAGAATCATAAAAAAATGCTGAGAAAAAAGTGCTCACTAGAATTTTTCCCCTTCCCAATGGAGAAGGCTAGAGCACAAAATGGGAGTTGATTTGTGGGGAAACAAGCTATTAGATTTGTAGGGAAACAAGCAACAAATTAAGGAACTGACTGTATATGGTGGCACCTTTGCACTGTCAGTGGACCCTAAAAGCTGCTTTTAATGTTGCTAGTGCCTAATCCAGTCCTCACTCTAATGCCTTTCAGACCACATAGACTCCAACTCCATCACCCCACAGAGCCTTAAGTCTTTTGAACATTTTTATGTTTCTATTCCAAAAACCAAACAAACCCCAAAACAATGAAAACCATTCCCTCAGCAGCCCATTTTGCTCTCTATAGATGAGTTGATAATGTTATTTATTTATCTGTGGAGAGGGGCAGCAAAGCACTACTTTGCTGAAATCCCAAGTTCATCATATTTGAATAACCTCCTTCTGTTGTTCTACAATAAAAATCAGTTCTCACCCACCACAGACTAAAATTCCTGACTGCCTTTGTTCAATCAAAGAGCTGCTGTCCAGAATATCAAACCCAGTTTTCTCTGTCTTACCAGCAGTATAAATCCATGGAGATTTATACATGATTGGGGTACTATAATTCCCA